AGACCTTTTTATTTAAGCAGTATTTTAAATGTTAATATTATTGAATTTTATCTGGCCAGGGCGGCTTGTTTTATATTGTATGTTTTATATCATATATTTGTATTTTAATGTATATATTTTAAAATGTTATTTTAATTTATTGTTGTAAGCCGCCCCGAGGCTTCGGCGAATGGGGCGGCATAAAAATGTTTTAGTAAATAAATAAAAATAAATATATGTGATCTGATCCACTGGTTCCAGTCTGAAGCCTGGCAGCAATAGTCCGATTCAATTAAAATTTCTGAACTGTCTTCAAGGGCAGCCCAACATTATTATATTACAGTGATCTAGCCTGTAGGGGTTGGAGGGAGGATAAAAGCATGAATGACCGAGAGTTAGATCTGGTGTCTCTCAGATAGGGCACACTTGGCATATTAAAATGGCATTAAGGTATTTCAGGGCCCCCACCTCCTGGACATCAACAAACAAAATGATTTAATAATGCTCCTGTTGCAAAAGTTGCAAAACTTACAGCTTCAACAGAAGCACAACCCATTCAAAATTGGTTGAACAAATACTTTTAAAAACAACTATACCTCCATGTTATTTGGATCAAAAGTCAGTTTGTTTGCTTTCATCTAATACAGAACTACTGTGAAACATCCATGTATATGTACACTTTTTGTAGGTTTTCACCAAACTACCATCTCTATTGGAATGTCAATAATTGTCCCTTTACATTGGCATCATCATCATCATCATCATCATCATCATCATCATCACATTTCTATGCCGCCCCTTGCCGAAACCTCAGGGCGGCTTACAACACAATAAAATACATTGAAATACAATAGAACATAATAAATTACCATTAAATACAAAAATACAAAAAATACACTGAGTTACAAATATAAAATTAAAATTATCAGTATAAAATAAGTAAATAAAAATATAGGAGGAGAAAAGAGAAGGAAGAAGAAGTTGCCCTGGCCAGATCATATGTTTTAACAATCATTGTGACTGCAGTCCTTAAAGCAGTCAATAATCCAGTAAAGCAATCTGAATGGAAGCAAATGTTAATGTCAGAAAAAGTAGTCTTTTTTTACAACCTAAACTCATTTTATTTATTTATTTATTTATCAAAACATTTCTATGCCGCCCCTTGCCGAGGCCTCGGGACGGCTTACAACATCAAATAAAATACAAAACTCATAGGTTTCATTTTTGTGTGTTTTAAATTCCACCACAGAGTCACTTAGTAGGACAGGATCTACAGTATGGCCCTTGCTGTTTCTCAGAGAGTGCAGATAATGTTATTTATAAAAAAAGGATTGACCAATATTGGGGCAAATACTAATGACAGTTCCTACTGTGTTGAAAACATGATCTTCCATCCCACTCAAATGCAACTGCTGGAACAGTAGGAATTGGAAAGTTTCCCTGTTTCCAACTGTGAGTTTGGCAACAAGAACAGCTGCCATTTTCCACTCCTCCAATCTGCCTAGCAACTGGTGAGTTGCTGGCAGCAGGGCGCTGATTAGCTGTTTCTGCACTCCCCGTCTTCCCTGCCAGCGCACAGTCCTTGATGCCCAGCCATCCCACCTCACTGTCACGCCTGCGCCATGTTGCCTGCCACACCTTGCCAAGCCATGCTGTGCTGTGCCTGCCACGATGCCAGCCTCGCCTTGCCAGTATGCCCATTCTGTGAGGCCGTAAGCAATGTGCACCGTGCTTCATGAGGCATCACCAATATGGCAATGGCTGCTGAGTGGCTTGGCTGAGTGTTGTGGGCGAACCCGTTTATTCTTCTGGTCAGTGGGCAAATCAATGCAAGAGGGAGAGAAACCATGGTGGGACGGGCGAGATGGAAGATTGGCTCTATCCCCATCTGAGAGCTGCTGCCCAGCAGGACTCTTCCTTTTGTACTGCCACTCCCCCAGCCCACTGAAGCCACTGCTTGTCTTTGCAGAATAATACTGCAAGTTAAGCACACACTGAAATGTGTACCTTGGGGGAAAAGTGCAACACATAACAATTGCTCTGAAGAAATCCAGGATACAATGGCAGAAACAGCAGGAGGAGGAGGGTTTGGAGTGAACATCATGAGATGTGCCAATGCGTCAGGCATTACTATGCTGGTAAAAATGCCTAAAGTAGATCCCTGCTTGGTACCAATTGGAGAAGAAATTGCTTATGTACTGAAGGCATTTTTACTGTTGATACCCTATCAAAAAACGGACAAACATGGCTTTTGCATAGTAGTTTCAAAGAGAGTGATCTTTTATATAGCAATTCAATATTTTGTGTATCTCACATATAAGCCAAATTTCTTATCTTATTGGTTCAATTTTCCAGCAAAAATAAAAAGGGTGAGGAAACTTCTGCTTGTGCAATGAGACTTCTCCTTGCTCTGTACTCTTCCCTATCCTTCTGGAGCAGGTTTGCAACATGAGCAGAGGAAATCTGTTGTGCCAGTGGTGCCCATTCTGCTGGTGGGCGGCACAGCTGGCTACAACCCATATTGTTCTTTCAGTGGAGTATCTCCACTTACTCCCACTCAAAGCATCAGCATTCTATATTATTTAACTTGTGTCTAGCCAGTTGACTATGTTATGACTTTATCCAATTCCTTCAAAGATTCCATTCCAAAGAATTGAAATTTGTCAGTACTATGCAGTTTGTGTAAGGAATTGTTTAGACAGTTTAAAAATCTGTTTTGTTTTTGTTCTCTTCCAACTCCTAGTTTGCTAGGCAATAGTGTTCATACATAAACTTGATAGTGTTTAAGCTATGCTCAAAAAGTAGGTCATAGTATATAAGCTGTACATCTCACAGCTAGATTGTGTACTAGATCACAAACGCAGTACATTGTCCCCAAAATGGCCCATAACACATCTGCTAGCTTGGGCTGAAACATGGACTCATTTAAATGATTTCTATATGCATTAGTTTCCACTAATCATCTTATTGCTTCCTATTATGAAATCTAAATGATTCTCAGTTTCTTGAGATGGCCCACTCTTCTCATGTGATAAAAGTAGAGTGGAGCAGCTGAGGAGCTTATGACTTGCCCATAGAAGAAAAGTACATGTTATCAAGCCACAGCAAATACCATGAAAAAAGTGACTTTTAATGAAAAAGGTTTGACTAATTTTACAAAGACAAATCATTATTTACAATACTACTTGCTGAAATATCCAGCGGTTCGGAAATTTAACCAAGTGTGCAACCACACCAAATACATATTACTTAAGCCTGTATTAGCTGCGCAAGGCATTTAAGATCACTTGCAAAATTAAGCTGTGGTGTAATTCCACCCAAATTCCATTACAGGCAACAGGCCAAATTAAATAAGGCTTCAATTCAACGCCAGTGTATTCTACTGAATCTGAAGAAGTCTTAGCAGAAATATTACAACAACAGAAATTGCTACACAAAGTAAACATTAGGCAAAGGTGAAAGTAACTAGTAGCAGGTTTATGGCAAGCTAGATAATCATTTAGAGTTTGCCTGCAGAGGCTGAAAATAAAAGAACTTTTACAGAGTAGGACAGAGTGAAATGCTTGCAGTGAAATATCCTTAGTTCACAATGCATAAGTATACAATGTTTACACAACCAAACTATTTTAAGTAGCTGCTCCTAGAATATCTGTTGATTTAGGATGAACAGTAAGTACAGAAAGATCATACTATACAGAAGGAAATACTATAGTCCTAGAAGCCTTTTAGCTTCTTCGCTTTGAGCCATAAGAGCTTCACTGGCATACTTCTGAAGAAGTTCCATTTTCTTTCTTCGGACAAGAGCTTCTTCAATCTATAGATTAAAGACAGTTGGCTTGAAATAAAGTACTGAAATGGCACAAATTGCAAATGAGTTCATAAAATGGTATCAACAATGTGTGACACCATAAAAGGAACTACCCAATGGAACCTTAGAAAGTTGTTCAGGTCTACTGCCATGGCAACAGAACCTGCTGTCTGACTCAGTGTGCCATGATTTTTAACAAAGAAATTTTCAGGAACCAATATACAAATGCACTGAAGGATCTCAGTTGGTGATCCTTTCAAGTATCTTTAGGAATAGTCTTTAGCTCAGACTGGGATCTACATGTTCAGTAGATGTATTTGTGTATGATAGAGTCCACACCTAATCCTAGTTTTCTTATTATATGTATCTATATGCTACATATATTCAAATAAAAATGAATTGAGTTGGTTCACCAATAACACCAAAGCATGGTTTAGTGCTGCAGCAAGAAGCTGCAATGAATCTCTGGCTTACACATTAGCTCCTTCTCTGAGCCACGCAGAAAAGTTTGGAATTCTTCACTTCCATTCTTTATTAACCTTGCTTGTGTCATTTAAACTAGAAAAAACTGTATTTTCAAACAAGTCTACTTCAAACCATGGGTTATTAAATTCAACTGCAGGTTAGCTTTAGTTATTCTAATTGCAAATTTTAGATCTCCTCCTTGTGGGAGGTTATTTAACCCACAGTAAGGCTGCGGTGCATGAAGCCACCAAGCAATCCCACTTGGAGGTTGTCATGTCATGTAAATTCAGCAAATATGACTTATTCAAAGGTTAAACAAACCTTGCCTGACCCATATTCGGTTTTAGGGCTATTTAATCATTGAATAATCCATGCTTGCCAGATTTGCATGACATGTAATAATGTTATTCCTGGACTGGGAAAATCTGACAGCAATAGTCCATGCTGTGAGAGCTTCCAGACTGGATTAGTACACTGCTCTCTATGTAGGGCTTCTCTTGAAGATGATCTGGTTCAAAATGTTGCTGCAATTAGTGAGATGTAAGCAGCTTTGAAATCTCTGCACTGGCTTCCAGTAAACTACCAAGCCAATGGTGTTAGTACTAGTGTACAAAGCTGTACATGGCTCAGGACCGAGATACTAGGATTGATTGTTTTCTCCAGTTCTAACTATCTTGAGATTTAAGATCAATCATGGAGGTTTTGCCTGTACTGCCCTCAACGGATGTAACCTGTTGGGCTATCACACATGGCAGGGTCTTCTCAGAGGTGTCACCACAGCTGCAGACCATTCTTCCAGTTGAGATCTGGCTATCCCTCCACACTGCTCTTGCTTAACTGCTAGTAAAAACCAAATTCTTCTTTATTCACACACACACACGTATGGCTGACTAAATACAGAGTCAGACCACTAATTCCTCTAGCTTGAAACTGGGTACACCAACCCTAAGTGGCTCTGGAGGGTTTCAGAGCCCTCTCAGATTTTTCCTAGTTATATTCTGATGTCCTAGGAATTGAATAATCCACTTAAAATTCTCAAAACATGAATCAATTCCCTGTTAGGATTAAAATTAGTCACAGGCCTTAGTCTCAGTTCATTCTTTTAGCTAAACTGTAAATACTTGTTTCAGTTCTTTCACAACATGAACCAATGGAATTAGGAATAAAAGAGCATAGCAACGTTAGTGCTTAGCTTTTATCCTTAGCTCCTTTGCAACATTTCCTATACTTTGCAAACTATGAATTATATTCTAGCAAAAACTCTTTTGGTCCAACTATTTACAGTTTATCTCAAGTGTGTATATATGCATGCACCTACTTGTCAGCAGAACACTCTAACTAATGAAAGAACATCCAAAATAAATCTAATACTAATATACTTTTGCTTCTATACATCTTAACAGGCAAATATACCTCTCTGGGTGGTTCACAACTAGCTCTAAAGGTCATGATCTGGTTGCAGGATTTAATCTTGAAAACCAGAGATCTCTGCAGGCTTTATTTAAATATTTAAACCCCTGAAGAAGGCCAGAAACAAATACTACAGGGCTATACTGAGGAATAAAACTAATAAACAGGGCTATACTGAGGAATAAAAACTAATAAAACTAGGACTCTGTCATTCTGATTTTGGATGTTTCCAGTTTTGTGTGTCTTTAAGCTTGTAAAGGTGACACAAGATACTAGTTTTTGTGGCAGCAGAGCAATAAGCCTACTCCACCTGTATATCTTTGTTTTTCAAATATTTCTTACCTCCTGTTGTGATGGCACTGGGACATGAGCAATAAACTTCTGCTGACTATCTTCACCTTCCTTTTCCTTTCCACTTTCTTCATCAGACTGCAATGCATTCAGAACATACATGTTTAGTTTAATGCTTGTCTCAGTATGCTTTAACGGAGCTGAATGCTGCAAAAAGCTATTAAATTATACACAGAAATAGCACAGACGTGTATAGAATCATCCACAACTTGTTAATTTTTAACACAAGTCTGCTTACTTTCTTTCCTAGCAAGCTTCCACGTGTTATAGTCATGGGGAAGCAAGTGCACGGTCATATCACGCACACATGCGCAAAATGAAGGAGCGCAGGCAAGCTAGCATATACAGTGGGAAGTGAGGATAGTGGTACCTCGGCTCACGAACGCCTCCGTGCATGACCAAATTGGGTTACAAACAGAAATGTCTGAAAAATTTTGCCTGGGTCACGAACTCTGCATCGGGTGATGATCGAGATCGCACCCACCTTCCCATGAGTGCACCTGTGATCACGCCTGCCTCCCCCCGAGCGCACCCATGAACGCACCCGCCTCCCCCCCAGCGCACCTGTAATTGCGCCTGCCTCCCCCGCTAGCATGCCTGCCTCCCCCCAGGGTGCCCGCCATCGCGCCTGCCTCCCCCGAGCACACCCGTAAACATGTCCACATCCCCCAGTGCGCCCATGATCACGCCCGCCTTCCCCCCCAGTGTGCCCGCCTCCCCCCAGCTCATATGGTAAGTTTCTGCCCATTTCAACCAGAGAAAGTGCATCCAGAAGAGCAAGTAAACAGAATAATGAAAGTGTTTATAAAGTCATTAAACATGCAGACCTAATGCGTATTCCACCGTGCCTTTTACTCTTAATGACTATTCTTCTCCAACATTCAAGGCATTCTACTATTAAAGGACTCAAAGGCCTGAAACCAGGACAATACCTCATCATCATTTACTGCATAGATGTTTACTTCCTCCTCCTCCTCTTCCTTGTCACCTCTTGAAAGACGTGCTTCTTTCTCAACTTTCCATTTTTCCACTGCTTCTGCAATAACTTGGAAAGCAAAATAACTGAATTTCAAAAATTGCATCAAGGATAACAAAATTCCATGGCTGGGGTGTGATAAGCTCTTGACTTATTTTTATCATCTTTTTTCATTTTTATTATCTTTCAAAAAGAATGACCTGGTTCACTCATAACACTAACCCATAAGTTTAGTTAAACCCAAATTAAAATGTGGGTTGTTGTTCTACCCAGAGTTTGCCTGACAGATAAAAAGCAAACCACGGTTTATTCAATTCAGTTTCTTGTTTTCCTCCTTTTTCACCTTTTCACCTTTATATCCCAACAGCATTTACCATGCTGTTGTCCTGCTATGTAGACTGGCAGGGGTAGTTTTACTTTTCTTGCAGTTTCTGGTGAAACAATCCATGTATAACCTATGGTTCTGGATTCATATATAATAACACCAATGTTTTAAACATCGCAGAGTTCACCCCTTCCCCCATGGGCTTTCTTTCTGGGATGCTTCCGGTTAACTGAAACTGGGTTTGCACATCACAACAACCCAGAGTTCAACATAGGTTAGCATTATGTAGCAATCCATCAAAAAAAGAGCTGTGTCTTGCAAGGGGTTTGGATCTCAGTCCCTGAGATTTAAAAATACTACAAAAACACATGCTTTATAGACTGTAACAAAGCTTTTGATTGTGTGGATCACAAGAACCTAAGGATGGCTCTAAGAGTAATGGGTGGGCCTCAGCATATGATTGTCCTGATGCATGGCCTGCACTGTGGACAAGGAGCTACAGTTAGGACAGCATATGTAAAAACAGAATGTTTGCTACAGGAAAAGGCATCAGACAAGGATATATTATATCTCCCTATCTGTACACAGAACTTATCATATGCAAATCTGGATTCAGACCAGAGGAAGCAGGAGTGGAATTTTACAGACAATACATCAATAGTTTAAGCTATGCAGGTAACACCATATTACTGGCAGAAAGCAGCAATGAAATGAAATCATTCCTGATAAGCAGGACTGCAGCTGCACATTAAGAAAACAAAAATCATGACATTAGAATTGTTGTTTTTAGTTGCGAAGTTGTGTCTGACCCATCGTGACCCCATGGACAACATTCCTCCAGGCCTTCCTGTCCTCCACCATCTCCCGGAGTTCACCTACGCTCATACCAACTGCCTCACTGACTCCATCTAGCCACCTCATCCTCTGCCGTCCCCTTCTTCTTTTGCCATCTATTGTTCCCATTAGAAATACACAACTTTAATTACAACAATGGAGAAATTGAAATTGTGCAAGATTTTGCATTCTTTGGCACAATCATCCATTCAAGTGGAGACTACAGCCAAGATTGAAATTTGGAAGGACAGCAGTGAAGGAACTAGAAAAGATCATCAAGTATATGGATGTTTCATTAGAGACAAAAGCTAAGATCATCCACAACATTTTATTCCCAGTTATTATATATGTGTGTGAAAGCCAGAAAGTGAAGAAAGCTGACAGGAGGAAAACTGATACATTTGAAACATGGTGCTGGAGGGGAAGTTTGAAAATACTCTGGACTGATGAACAAGTGGGTCCCAGATCAAATCAAGTCAGAATTCTCCCTGGGGAAAAAAGATGAAACTAATTGCCGAGGGGGGACTAAAAACAGCAGGCAGCTACAGGACAGGACAGTGACTAAACTGTGACTGAAATGGGACAACAAAATGGGTAGAAAGAAGGTGTTTTATGAGTGGAGGCTCTTACTTCAGAGTAACATGAAAATGTTGGCTAGCAATGGAAGTGCCAAAATGTAGGATGACATTGACAAGGACAGTGGCACCCCAGGCTAGACACAGTGCTTACTGGCAGCCTAGTGTAAACACCCATTTAAAAAAAAAAAGACTGTGAGTGCATCATTAGGGTCATAAAGGCTCAAAAAAGTACGGGCTCAAAATGGGCTCAGATCACCATTTGATCTGATATGTACATGTGGGGAAAGTATTTCTTTTGGGAGCCAGCAAGCCCAGGGAACCAAATGCAGAAATGGTGTTGGCCAAGAGATCACGGATATGAGTGTGGGGGCAAAAATGCCTGGGATACATACAGATGGCAGGACAACTAGTGGGGGAAGCAAGCCGTAGCAAGCCTGATCAGGTATCTATCGCATTTGTGAGCCAATCCATGGTAGCTTATTGGCAGGATGGCTCAGAGTGGCACATGAATTTTCTCAATGGAATCATGAACATTCAGTGAATCTAGAATCAGGTATATTAGTTTCTATTTGTACTATTACAACAGCCTCTTCTTGAAAAAGGATAGGGCAGAATTTTAAAGGCCGCAGAGAAGGCTATCCATTCCTGTGCGTTAAAAAGCCCAAGCAGGGCACCTCATTGCTTCTGCACTTGATGGCCAGGCTACTTCTATATACCTGTTTACAAAACTGGAGAAAGCTGATGTATGCACTGACAATTCCAGAACAGCACTTGATGTTCAATGCTCTGCATTATTTTTAGAACTGCTGAGATACAGTTCCCCCCTTCCAGCTCTCTGAAAGAGGTTGTGCATCCTGGTACCAACAGTAAAGAACCACAAGGCATCTTGAAGACTAAAATACTGTATTGTGGCATGAGGTTTCCATAGAGTCCAGATTATCTTAACAGACACACAAAGTGGCTTGGAAGGATGTTAAGTTTTTAGCGTCAAAGATGTTTGTTTGAATTTTTAACAGCAAAATTCAATGGAAAACAAACTGCAGGATATTAATATTCAGACTTTGGCCATACTGAATGGGGAAGGTGGATACTGTAGCCCTGCAAATCAGGAGGAAACCAGGTTGGGGAAGGTTCATGTAGAGTCTTCCTATTTTTCTTCACCATTAGGTTTACATGGCACAGCAAGCTAGCCAACCTGATTCCCATAAAGAACAGCCTCCCAACTGTAAGCCATTTGTCAGAGAACTGCTTAGGAAAACAAGCCCTTTAAATTGATGAGAAGAGCATCTAGTCCACAATCTAATTGCCAGTGTGTTCATTCATGAGGGATGTTCTGAATTCAGTAAGCAGAATGGCAAAGCAATTAGTTAAAAGTACCAGAGTGATGGAAAGAAGGCAACTCTGTTGCAGTGGGATGGCTCACATCTACTTATAATGAGTTAATATAATCAACAGCAGCAGCTCAGTTATTTCCTATCCATAACTCACCTAATTTTCTGAAGGCCCATCTGTTCCTAAAAGTATTTGAATTAATTTCCCCTGTACCCATGTGATCATCAGTAACATAAATGAGGATCTATATTCTGGAGTGGACTGCCAAGGAAGCCAATTCCATAAAAGTTTCAGCAGTATTTTCCGAAGTGCATTATACAGCAAGACCTGTGTCACTAGCACTACCATCTGACTGCCCTCTGCAAAGTACTCTGAACACCTACAACAGCAAAGATCTGAAACAAATTAATTTTTATTTTGGTAATTTTCTTATAGGATCACAGCCTCTGGATAATACAATCCTTACACTAAAACAGCGGGACAAACTTACTTTATCCAGTCAAAGAGTGGATGGCATGAATATACAAAGCATATGACAGATTAAAGCAGGCTTCTAATCAGAGAGAGCATTCCATGGTAACAGAAACTTTGGGGGAAGTGATTTGGGCTAACTCCAGATGTTTTGCTCCCTGAGGCAAAGGGCAGGATGGTGCCCCCTCACATTCAATGTACAGACACAGGTAGACAGGTATTTGAAATCTCTCTTCCACACTGGTCACCGAACAGCATCCCCCCTACAATTTAAGCCATCAGGTTGTGTAGCATACAAACTTGCTCCTCCAGCTCCTTACTGTTGTTTTTTGATATCTGCTGCCTGAAGCAGCTGCCTCACTATACCTAATGACAGGGCCAGCCCTGGAGGGGATCTAGCTCAGCAGCAGAATGCCTGGTTTGCATGTGGAAGGTCCCAGGTGTGATTCCTGACTTCTAACACCTGAGAAGGGTATCCGGGGACAAGAAAGAACTCTGTCTAAGACCCAAATACAGCCTTTCACAGCCAAGCAACCTCCAGATGTGATAGGCTGTAACTGCCAGCAAGGCCGGCAGCCCTGCTGGCTGGGGAGGACAGGTGCCCTGGTTCAACTTCTCTGCAGGGTGCTGGACTGGGGACAGCTGCTCAAAAGAGCAAGTAACAACCAGAGCAGGCATATCTAGGTAGGTGAACCAAAAGTCTGACCTGGTGCAAGGGCCTCTTCCCGGGAGGTAGGGTTCCAAGCTGAGCAAGAGCAGGCAGGAGCATTGGAGCACTGAATCAAAACAGAAGACATGGCGGCGGCTCTGGTCCACACAAGACACCAGCAAGGCTGCATATTAAGCAAGCAGCAGGCATAAGATCCATCCAAAAAGAGCCAATCTGCTCACCTCTTTTTATGATAGGTAGCAAGATGTGCAACTCCTATAAGTCACATCAAGCAAGGCAATGGCTTTACTCAGGTACGCACCATTTCTTTCGTGTTCCTGTTCCAGTGGTTCCAGGACACCATCATCCTCGTCCCTGTAGCCATAGTATTCCGCATCAATTGCCTTCATGAGTTCAGCTCGTGTCTTCCTTGGAGGAGGAAGGGCTGAAGAAATAAACAAACAGTCATTCTCAAAAGATAAAATGGAAGCATGTAGATTAGGATTAGCAGCTCATGAAGATCCAGCCAAGTGGTCACTGGCAACTCCATTCAGATCTTTGGAATGAGGGACCCACAGACAACGTGCTATTCAGAACTACTCAAGGATGAGTCTCCACTTTTACTGCCCTCCCTCGTTACGCACAGTAGCCCTCTCTCTTTCAGGCAGTTATTAAGGTGTCAACATTTCTTTGTGTTACCACTACAAAGGCTAAAATACCACTACAAATCCTAAAATATTCCCAACATTTATATTTTAACATTTGAGACTGTGTAAAGAAAGATTTGTGCACGTATCAAAGGTCTGATTTGGTATTATTCATAACAAGGGAAAAATCACAATATTGACACTATAAAGTAATTGCTTTCTCTTGGGATATACAACTATTCATTGGATTTTAAAATTGGTAGAAGTTTCATCTGCATTCTTCACCAACTGAAAGAAACTTGGAATCTCTATTGCCCACAAGTAGAAGAATGGTTTATGTCCTGTGCACTTTGGGGATAATTCTGAACAGAAAAGCAGCTGTAAGAGCATTGTCTTAAACAAACAGGTTTCTTCTCAATTAAGCAAATTTTTAAAATAAAAAGAGTAATACTGGTTTTCACAATGTTTGCAATGTCTATTTCTCCCTCCCATCTTTATTTGCATTAAACAGGAAAGACTACCAAAAATAAATTCTATCACACCTTACCTGGAAATAGTACAATCTTAGCTTGTCCAAAACATGGTACTAGTGGCATTTACCTAAAAAAATTCCTATGAATAGGCAAATGCACATGCATATACACAACACTTACGTTCTTTTTCAAAAAGCTCTCTAACACCAGGCAAGTCTTTAGCCGCTCCAAAATATTTGTAACCCCTGTTTCCTGGGACTTCTTTTCCTTCATGATCAAGCATTTTTGGACCAATTCTCTGTATAAAAAACGGGAAGGGAAGAGGGCAAAAGCTATGATGACTACTACTATTTTCACATGTATAAATTGCCCCATTAGCCCATAGGGCTCTCTGGGCGGTGCACAATATAAAACAGAATAAATATATTAACATTAACATAGTGAACATTTTCCTACTAAGTTAATGTTTAAGACACATTTTCCACATAAATCTTTCTAAAATACATTAAATCACAATAAAAACAAGTATTGGCTTGAGACATAAATACCTCTTACAAAAAAGAAAATATACATGAAATATCTGCACAGATACGAACATCTTTCTTATCATTCTTCTGTTTTTGGTTGAGAAGCTCTTCGTGAAGTGTTGGCCCTCTTATTTAAACGCACGTCTCTGGCCTCTTCAACTTCTTCCTTTTTAGCTGTTTTAAATTGGTCCTTAGACTTGCTAACCTGAAGAATTGCGCCTGCTGTGGCATGTGGAAACACTATCATTGCCAAGCCCAGTAAAACCACATCCGTTACTTCTTAGATGATATACAAATGAAGCAGGTAATCTTAAGACCCGTAGTATTCCTTCTTTTCTGGCTTACTAGTCAAAACCCGTTGATAGAGCCTAACATAGTTTGGCTCCAATCTATCCAAAACGTTTGGGGTGATGGAGAGCACCCATATGCCTTCACTACCATTACCTATGTGAATGACCATTTATGTCATAATCAGACATTCGTTTGCTAGCAATTTATGACTTGTACACATTTCCATTTCTTGCACTTTCCTGCAAAGGGATCAAACAATTATGACATACTTACTGCATAATCAGGTCCTCCCAGCTCCTTTATTCGGACTTCCCAGTGCCCCTTTTCTCTTAGGAGTTTGTTAATTTCATCATTTAAGTCGCGGATTCTGAATTCACCCAAACCAGCTATTTATAAAGGAGATAATATTACAGTTGCTTTATTTATAAGCCTAATATGTAAGGATAGCCTCCCTGTTCCAAACTTTTGCAAGAATTGTAGGCTATTATTATTATTGCTTTCTTCCTATCACATCTCCACTTTTGGACAGTTTTAACTGCACTAAAGTTACTTTTAAAGTGTGTGAACATGTTCGATAAAAAAAGACAATGGCACCCAGACCAGTTCTGATTTCAGCTTCAAGCACATCAAGAAAGCTGCCCAGTATCTGACCCAACACTAACTTTCAGACAGACTTGCTGAATACCAGAAACCCAATAATAGTTCAGATATTCTGGCATCCTTTCTGAACAACCACAAGTTCTAGAGACTCTTGCACAGTAGCATCTTCAATCAGTGCACCTCAGCTGTCACAGCCCTTCAGGGTCTGCAGCTAAAAAAGGAACAGCACTTTTAAGAGTTTGACCCTACATAGCTCAATGAAAATGTCAACCCATTGGGTTGCCACTGTGAAGGAGGCAAACTTACGAAAGCACTGAGAATAAGATTGCTGAAGTGCAGTCACATTTGGAATACTGTATCTGAGCACCAGACCTAAAAAGGGATATTGTAGAGTCGGGAGAAAGTGCAGAAAAGGACAACTAAAATGATCAACTCCCTTGTGAAAAAAAGTTACAACATCTGGGATTGCTTCATTTCGAATAAAGGTAAGTAAGAGGAGGTAACACAGAGGTGCAAAAAATTATGCACAGTGCGGAAAAAGGGAATGGAGAGATTTTTTTCTTCCTCTCTTTTAGTACTAGAAGCCAGTGGCATCTCATTAGGCTGATTGGTGGGAAATGCAACACAGATAAAAGGAAGGACTTGTTCATACAGCAAATGTAGTTAAACTATGGGTTTGGATGGATCCTTGGTCTGATCCAGCATGGCTGCTCTTATTTTCTTATTGCACTCTTGGGAGATGGATGGCACCAACCTTGCAGTCATCTGTCTATCCAGCATCTAAGTGACAGGCAGGAAGGCAGATTTTATAACCCTCCTGCTCCTCTCTTGTTTTGTTGTTTTTGGCTAGAAAGGCTTCTGAGTCCATTTAGGCACTGTCTCATTCCACCTTCCCTCCTAGCATCCCACCCCCTTTTCCCTTCTTCAACCTCTTCCAAGTTCCTGTTGGAAATTGACAAGGGATCCACCATGAAGCTTTGGGTAGAATACAGAGGAGATCCTACTTGTATTTTCCCCTGCTGAGGTTGTAGGGGTATCTATGGCCTTAGGGTGGGGGGAAATCTTCACTATCCAATGGCCCCAAGATGCCCTCCTAGAGACCACAGAACTGCTCTCTGTGTAATGTGGCTGAAAAATACATTCTGTAAATGCATTAAAATAGACAGTATTCTTTCAATACAAACTTACCATTCTGAATTTGTGCCACTTTCTTGGAAATTTCACCAATAATCTTTTTAAAAAAGAAACATTAGGCAACAGTTAGGGATTTTTCTGCAAACAGATTAGCAAGAGCAACTTTAAAGATGCACTATGTAACTCCTTTTAACAAAAAAAAAATTCTAAATGTGAAAATTCAGCCTGCTTTGTTTAAATCTGCAATACTCTGGTTGTTAGGAGGAGAAAATTCTTTAGGTGATAATTAAAGGAATGTATGAATGTGGTGGATTCCTTTGATGCAGAAAATCTATTTCCTTTATTTCTCCTTTTCTGTTTCCCCACATCTACCAGCTGGTTGGATTAAAACACCTATGGAGTATCTTTTATGCACATACAATGCCAGTGCTCAGCTTGATGAGATAGCTCAGATAGATTGGCTGCAAAGAATGTAATATCTGGAATGTCTTCAATGCAACTTTAGAAATGTGGGGGTGTCTATAACTCCATCTTTCTATTTTATTTATCACCCCCTTTTCAGCGGGGAAAGAGTTTCACAATTAGAGCATCTGTATAGAGAATGCTCCATTCCAATCCCCATCAGGTGGGCATCCTCACTACATCATCATAATAGGCAGGGACATAAAGTAGATGGTGGTCCATTGGTAACCAGGTTCTAAACTATGTAGAGCTTTCTACATTAGCACAAGCACTTGAACTTGGCTCAGGAGCTTCTTAGCAGCCAGCAGAACACCTTCAGAACTGGTATACTATGTTCTCATCAAGCTGCCCACACAGCAACCTCGCTCCTGTATGCAACTTCTGGACCCACCACATAGGTAATCCCACATAAAGTGCACTGCAGCGGCCCAGTCCTGATGGTACCAATATATGAATACATCATTTAATGTGCCTGTGCAGCAACTGTGTGCATGTTGAACATATCTTGATTGTGATGTAGAGTGAGTGACGGGGTTCAGACAAGACAATAATCCATACTCAAGGGCTGACTGTGGGTTATCACTGAACCAGGGGCTGTTGCAAAAGATGGGGTATCATGTTATCTGAACCCCACTGAACTGACGCAACATTATGCACAACCCATAGTTCACAACCAATGGGTTTTCTTCATGAGTTGTTTGTAGTTAACAACCACTGCCTTATTAGTGTAGCTTAATTCAGGTAACATGAAAACTCATGTTTCAACAACCACCTATGCTTCAGCAAGGTTGAATGTGAGTTGTTGTGTTGACTGAAGCCACTGGCTTAGATTCTAAGTTCCCTTCTATGAACAGAAAGAGTTTGTGTCAAGAAAATGGGGTTTCTGCGGCACCCTGCATCCCTGAAAATTTGTTACTAGGGACTGCGAGACCCTTTAGAACAGTTTGAGATATGGAATGGGGGCCTTTAGAGTGAAAACGCAGTTGGCCAAACATGGACAGAAAGCAACACAGGATCCAAGGCATTATGTTCCACTTACAGATACTCCTTTTATGAAAGGATGTATCATGTTCTAACACATATCCAGTAAAAAGGGCTTTAACCCTTTTTTAAAGGTCACCTGCAGAAATCCTTCTCCAAGAGCCCTCCCTGAAGGAGGTAAGGAGGACTGTCATGAGAAGAAAAGCCTTTTCTGCTATACTACCCCCCAATCGTAGAACTCGCTCTCAGAGAGGTTTGCCTGGTGTCAACGCTTTATTCATTCTGGCATCAGGTCAAAACTTTTTATTCACCCAGTTTTTAATTGTTAGGTAATATATTTTAATCGTTTTATTTTAATAAGAAGTATTGGCACATTTGGCTTCTGTTTGACAATTGAAATTTTCTTGTAAACCATCTTGAGATATAATGATGGAATTTTTAAACAAACAAACAAAACCCATAAAAGCTTGAGTCATTAGGACTTATGCTATCTGCTAGCCCTCAAGCTGCCACTGGACCTCTTTGTTATTGCTGCTACCATGGCTAACCCTCTGTATTTTAACCTATCCACAAAGTTTCTTCCTAAGGAGACCAGCTGTCCTTATGCTCTGTCTGATATAGCAAGTCCTGAGGGACAGAGATGAAGTTAAGTTTATTTCGCTTATAGATCAGATATACGATATGAAAAGAACAGAGAATGCTATAGCTCTTGACACAGGAAAGACAATAAATCCCATTGTCACACCAGCAATGGACTGCTTGGTTCCACATTAACATCTACCACATGGAACCCTGGGTTTCTGCCCCTTGCAAAAGCCCTTATATTCTGCTTGGGACCAGAGAAAATCCAAAGAGAAAACATGTTCACCTGGGGGAGTCTTTCCTCATTTTTTCAGAACCTCCTCCTAAAACAGAAGCATTTTAGTCTAAACATGGGGGATAAAGTTCTGTAAAATGTCAGACTAGTGCAAAGTCTATAGTAATCATTTTAATAAAAAAAATGAATTTCTCTGGTCTTTGCTGCATGCTTAGGTCTTTGCGACAAGCTTAGCTCCTTAGTGTAACAGCATGGTTGGGTATTTAATAGCAACTAGAGGTCTCTAATTACATTTCCAATTTTCAGCTTAATGTTCAGATGATCATTTCTTCTTTGTTGACGTTTACAGTTGCATTTTATTTAGAAACCAAAGTGTTTTCATACAAAGATACAGTTGGAAAGGAAAGCTGTATTTTCTTCCCTTTTTACTTTTAATGCATAGGACACCTTCCCCCAAACTATGCACACACTTTCCTTGTGTACAATATACAGTCAAACAACACACGAGTATTTCAAGAAATCTCTAAGGAATAGACGTAGAATGAATTCATATATTATTTGGAACTCGTCACTCCATGGCAAACAACAAATACCTGTCGTCTCCATTTCTCAGCTTTGGGCAATTCATTACATTCTGATGCAAGAAAAGGCCTTCGTTCCTGTTTGAAACAAATAAATAATCATCAGTTTTTCTTCAGGTCTATATATTTTCCAACAACAGACTTGATATTTACTCAGACTCAATATGCTATACCCTATTCAAACCTTCAACATCTATGTAATAGCTCTGGTAGAGGCACAAATTTTAAAACATGCAAGCACTGCATTACTTTACAAATGAGGGAAAACAATGATTTATAGAAGCTGGCATGCAGCATCACATGTCTTTTCACTGGCACAGCACGGTGTCATGTGGAAGACTCGAGTTCATAATTGCTCCAAGCACAAAAATGCTTAAGGGCTAATTGTCTGATAAAACAATTAGACACAAGGGGAAAAGTTAGGAAATCTTTTTCTGTTTGCCTGGGATAATCACAGAAGAGGACAAGCATTAGGTTATGTCTAATGGCTCCATAGAAAGGTATTCAAGCCAATTCTCATCTGTTTAGAGAAGTGTGCCTACCACAAGGGCACACAGCTTTGTTAGCTTCAACACAGATTGCTCTGATAAACTTCAGTCTAACTCTATGCTATTGGAAACCATCCTTTCTAATCTTCCTTCTCAGAAGTGAAAAATATTGATTACTTTCACGCTTGTTTATTTCAACCTCATATGTAATGAACAACAATAATCACCACCAACAACCCCCAAAATAATCAATAATCCCCATACATAATCAACACACTGAGAGTTGGTATGGTTGTTTTGGACTGGGAACCTGGGTTCTACTTCCCACTCAGACACGAAGCTCACTGGATAACTTTGGGCCAGTCACAGATTCTCAGCCCAACCTACCTTACAGGGTTACTGTTGTGAGCATAAACAGACCACCTTGTAGACCACCTTGGGGTCCTCACAAGAAGGCTGGATGAGGGGCACTGGATGTCAACCCATCTGGAAGGCAGCATTTACAGAGCACTCATACTAAGCATTCAATTTCCAAGGAACATGTTTACACATATAGTTAGTTACCTTCACTTTTCCTTCTTCTAGCTGAGCTTGGCGAAACCTTGCCAAGGCCGTCCTGAAACAGAGAATTTAGTTCAACACACATCTGTTTCTGCAACTGTGAACCCATGAGGATCAAGTCTCAGTCAGGTACAGTAATGTGTAAATCATGTAAATGCTTTCCAGTATGAACAGAAGGTCCACAACCAAAACACTCAGATTTGACCTTTGGTGCAGCAAGGAACCCTTATGAGGAATAAATCAAATTTGTGTATGTCAGGAAGTACAGTTTGAATGTCCTCTGAAATACTATGTGCAAACAATGAGTTATAAGCATAGGCAGAGAAAACTAAGATTAGCATACGAAAAGCTACATTAAAACAACATGACAAGAAGTTCCTGTGGGTGGATTAAGAACAACATTTTGCTGAAATGCTAAATATTCAGAAAACATTCTCTGGACAGGAAAGCAAAATTGATACCATACTTACATGGCCTTTTCTGCATTTCGAGCCTAAAAAGAAGAGAGGGAGAGAAAGCAGTTTTAAAAGAATTGAATACCAATTAAATGTATTCTGTTTGTTATTATGCAAGAGTAACTATAAGAAACCTAACACATGAACAGGGTATTGGGGTTAGAGATTTCACTTAATATTATTCTAAATAAATTGTGAAGTGTACAGCTTATAGGCCGTATTGTCACCTATACCCATTTCAGTTGTAGGCAGCTACAAGTTTCCATTTCCTTTTTTTCCAAAAGAATCAGCAACAATTGTTGAATCCAGACTTAGTGATACCGCAAATTAAACCATTGGTTTCAGTTACTTATTATTAACTAGTCACATTGCTTGCAATGGATTTACTTTACATATGATTACATCGAGATCCAACGTAAGCACCTTGCTTCTATCAGCAACCAATAGCTGCTAAAATCTCATAGGAAAAAGAAGACAAGCAGTCAGTTGTTTTGAAAACAAAGGAACCTGTGAATAAAAATAACTGAAGGGAATCCTGGAACACCTCATAGCAACTTTGGCAGCCAATGTATTGCCTTTACCCCAGCATGCCCAGGAACCCAGCAAGTCCAACATGATAGGGGATTCGGGACTCCAACTGGGAAAGAGAACAGAAAGTAATAGGCTGATGAAGAGAAGGCTGGGAACTGACAATGCAAAACCTAGGAGGTGAGAACTGCAACATACAACAAGGCCAATGTACTGCTTTCTGTGAGCCTTGTTGCTACAATTTAGTGCTGTGCTAAAGACAATGTTGCTCTCATGTGAACAGATGGTGCAGAGCCCCAGAATCCATGCTCCAGAGGAATACCCAGGTAGATACTGCCATGCAAAATTAAGTAACCCAAGATGCACAGGCACAGATCCACATAAAACATGGCACAGGGATACTGCCTATTGTTCATATTTAACAGCAGTTTAAACTATAGTTAAACTGAATGCAGCGCTATACGTTAGCTGCTGAAATCTCACTAACTTTAGTGAGATACAAGCAGGCTGAGTGCAGGACTGTATCCTCTGGGAATGCATGTACCAGGATGACCCCAGCTAAGAGATATAATGTGAATTCCTTTATGGTCTGCTTCTCATGTTTGCAGCTAAGAAAATCCCAGTGCAGCTGTTTCACTTCAGGTCTCAATGTTTCTTTCTGCCTACCTCTCTCAATATTTTTGCACACATATCTACATGCATAGCAGCTCTTCACAAAAACAGTCTGTGGAGACTTACAACATCCATTATCATTCAAAATCTATGAGGAAGAAAGATTACAAACTGGCTCTTAAGGCAACCAGTTCACTGCTTGACTACTTTAGCTCTGCTCTGAAACAAAAGTAGTAATCAAAGCATTTTAACAGCATATATGCCAGGTCCCCATCCATGGGAATTACATAAACACCAAACACACTTACAAGCTCTCTTTAGGCTTTTGTGCTCAATGTGTGAAGTCTAATTGGAAGTCTAACTAGGCACACAGGAACACTAGAGATGGGCCTTGCATGCATGCTCATGTCTCCATCCACACTTTGGCCCACCATACAAGCAGGCAAATACCTGCATAGAGGTGATGACAATAATGGAAGTTTATGCTATAGCAAATATTACTCTGGCTGACAGGGAAATTTTAGTTATTTTTGCAGCAAGAGATGAGTGCAGCTGTTCCACTCAAAACAGGTAAATCTGAACAAGACTTCTGCTATATTTTCTAAGTATTTAATATGCTTAGCCATTTCATTAAAAAAACAGCGAGCAAATAAGGAGAGTAGTACTTTATATGGCAGACAAATTAACACTGCATTTCTGCTTGCCATTTTACTTTATTGAAAATATGTACAGCTAGCTTTTTCACTGCCTTTGCAGTGTTCAGTGTGGTCTGCAACAGTTCCAAAACAAGGAAGCAAGCCCCAAGAAGAAAATCCATCAGAAATTGGATTTTTAACGTGAAAGACACATGAACTGCTCCAGGGAAAAGAAGAGGTGGAAAACTTCTCTTGTAAAATAAGTTGAGCTGGAAAACATGGAAAGATAGCCACTTCTTCAAAGCTATTCAATCCATAATCCTATACATGTTTAGACAGACAAAAAAGGTGCTATATTTTCCAGCATGCTGAGAGATTTAGGGCCTTTTCCCTTCTGAAAATGCATAGGGCTGCGTTCATGCTAATTTGTGAAAATGCTAATGGGGGAAGGCCCTTAATCACGAATTTAAGGAAGCTAGTACACAGAGGGACTGGACTACAACCCAGCCAGCATAGTAATGGATAATATCAGGAGCTGCAGTTCAGCACATGTTGGGGAAGGCTGCTCTGGGGCACCCGCAAACAGACCGAGATTCCCTCATATCCCCTCCCCCAGAAGCGGCTCGTGGCCTCAAGAAAGGCCAAGCTGGTGTCCAAAGAAGGTCGGAGCTGAGCACGAGCCTCGCCTTCCCACACACTCACCATGGTGACGGTCTCAGCGGAACGCGCGACTACTCCGAACTCTTATGCTGAACCGGAAAGATTTCTCTGAAGGATGCTAGCCCGGCAGTGACGGCATACAAGGGCTGCGATTTGAATGTTTCTCTGACCTTATTTCCGGCTCTGATAGGCTTTCGTCTCCATGTGCGGGGCAAATGTGCATCTATAGGCATTTGTTTAAAAGCCGAAATGAAATAGATGGAATTAGTGGTTTCATGAGAGTGCGCTCCACTCTGACAACCATGAAATATTTTTTTTTCTTTCAGGGAAGATGCACACCCCTTCCTGGAAGGACTTTTAAATATTTTATCACGGTTCCCAGCAGCCCACAAAGCTGCGGACAGCACGCTACGGGGAACCATGAAGTTTATGCGCGCTCGCGCACGAAGGAAGACACACGACTTGGGGCGGGATGGAGCGGGGAATTAGGAAAAATTCGGAACAGCTTTAGACAACTGCTCCCCCCCCCCCCACAGAGTTTGGTAAGGACTAAGCACGCTTAGTGGACACAGCATATGGGCTGGGATGGAAGGAATGTAGCGTCCTCGAGGAAGCCGTTGCAGCCAGTGAAAGCACGAAAGAGGAGACCCCACCGCAACTGGTTTGCTCCTGGTCCCACTCCTATAAAGAAGCAAACACTCAGCGGCGCGGTAGCGACGGAAAGGGGCACCTTGTTGAAGTGCAACCGAGCGTCTGAGTTTTTAAAGGCGCGGCGCTTCGAAAAAGATCGCCGCTCTGTTCACGCACTAGAAATGCAACATACGGGAATGGAGCGGAGACGGGCCCTGTGCCTTTAAAGGCTGTGTGAAGAGCGGGAGTTCCGTGCTCCTCGCGCCGCCGCGGAACCCCGCCCCCGCGGCGAAGAAAGCCGTCTGGCCGCGGCCCCCACGGGGCTGGGGCTCAGCGCCACTGGCCTCAGTGAGCTCCTGAATAGACAGACGTCTACACGTCAGGCTTGCACCGGTTGACAGGGTGCAGGTAGGTGCCGAGCGCACGTCTTGCAGGCTCCTGGGCAGGTTTAGTCCCGGGTAATGCTGCCCTCGTCGCTTCAAAGGGCAGGCTGGCTTTTTTCGAAGTACAAAAGACAAAAGCTCTCTCGTTGTCAAAGCACAGACTCTAAAAGAAGAGCAGTGGAGTTAGATTCTTTTAGATAGCAATCACCAATATGATTCTATTAATGTCCTGCTTTGGCCCAAGAGTGCATCATTCATGCCTTCGCCCACCATTTTATTCTCACAACCACTCTGTGAGGTGACTTGGACTGAGAGTGACTGCCTGCCAAGGCCCGCTAGGGTGCTTCAGACTGAATCTGGGCCTTGCCCAGCCTTCGGAGGCATTTCTTACCCGGACCAGAAGCAGCATATGATAGATTGGGATCTACTGCTGCAGTTGTGTACTATCCACTCATCTCTGCCTTATGAATGAAAGCCTCCAGAATGACCTGTCCACAGCAGCCATGCTCAACTCTTGTAAAATCAAGGCTGTGGCTTCCTTTATGTAATCAATCCGTCTCATGGGTGGTCAGTCTTATGCCTTCAACTGTCCCTGGCATGATTGTCTTGCCTTCTTATGATGTGCCCAAAGAAAGACAGCCTCATTTGGTCATTTTTGCTTCTAGGGAAAGTTCTGTTTTTCCATATTCTGTCCTAACAGTAGTTCCTAGTCCAGTGATAACAGGTTACACATCAGGACAATCAAGTTTCATCAAAGAAACTACCATCATAGTTTCTTGTGATTCTCACCGTCAGTTTGCTGTAGTCCATAAAGCATAGATTGACCTGAAATTATTTGGTTTCTCCATTAGCCAGTGTATATTTGTGTTTCTAGTGATAGATCAGGAAGGGCTTGTTCTGCAATTCTACATCCCCTTATATGAGCCACTCTTTTGCACTTCTTGTAGCACCTTGAAGGTTCACTTGTTTATTCTGGCCCAAGCATTTGTAGACTATTTGTGGACCTCTGATAAAGTGTGCTATAGTCCATGAAAGCTTACAGTGAAATAAGTTCGTTACTTTTTAAGATGCCACAAGGAGGAATAAAGGAGGCACAGGTAGCTTCTGAAACATTTTGCTGCATTCCAGCATAAAGTTGTTATTACCATCACACTAAGTTTATATCAAATCTTTCTTCCTTTTGCAAGGAACCCAAGGCAGATTACATATGCTCCTTCACTCCATTTTATCTTCACAACAACAGCCCTGTGAGATAGGTTAGACTGAGAGTGAGTGACTGGCCCAAGGTTAACCAGTGAGCTTCACTGCTGAGTAGGGACTAGAACCCAGATCCCCTGAGTCCCAGACTGGCACTCTGGCCCCCATGCCACACTGGCTGTCAAACCAGACTTGAGGAACAATCACAACATGCACAACTTTACCTCTCCCACTACGGTTCCAATTTAACACCTGCAGTATTACAGAACTGCAGAGAAGTGTTCTGCAGAACTCAAAACTTGCTTAATATTTTGTGGATTTTTAGTGGTCCTAATAAAGGCTATTTCTTTACTGTGGAAATGTAAATATGTTATAAATTATTTGTGAACAAAACAAATTCAGATACTAATGTCTGCTTTTAACTTTTTCCCTGTTTTTTCCTCCTCTTACCTTACCAACAACTGAGCTATAGCAATGCTAAAGTTGGTGGTAAGTTCCCAGTTCCTTTATTTCCTGAATGTTCAAAACAGAGGTCAATAAGCAAATAAGAGAAGAGCTCAGGTATATATGTGGCTGCACCCCAAAATAACCTTTGGCTACCCTGTATTTCTATGACCAGGAGCCTGGCCCTTTCAGGATAAACAGTCAGTCTCACTTATCAACATGGCCATTTTAGTGCAGATGAATTCATGTGTGATGACAATTACAAATTCAGATGGCAATTACAAATTAGGAACTCAAATATGACCTTCACAGTAAGGTTTGGACAATCCCAAATGATAGACACAAATGTTCAGGAGAGTGGCCCTTGTGAAATGGCATTGAATTGCATCCAACCCCATGCATTCTTTGGTGCAGGGTGTGCCAAGCTATCTGAAAAAGAATACAGAGCAGGAGTGTACCCACCCTACAAGAAGCCACCTCATCTCATATACTCCCATACCCAGGAGAAGGACCCCTACCAAATGGCACAGGGCACTATCAAGTATGGAATGAAGAACTGAGGCACATGCACCCCAACTGGGAGGGAGAAAGTTGCTGCCTAATCATTGCCAGGCTAAAAGTCTGAATCTTTGATTTCCTGCAGGCTTGAGAACAGGAATTAAATAAGAAATAGTTTTGCCTGAACTCTTCTTCCATTTGGGAGGAAGGAGTAAAACTAAGTTACCAACTGGACAGGAACTTAGGAGCCCCTCTTCAAACTGATCTGTTTTCTTAGTGACAACTACAATATACAGGCTTATTTTTTAAAAAAGTGGCTAGCAGAAATGCAGTAGAGCATCTTGAGTCTTATTTTAGAGTGCTTGCAGGATTTTTAAAAGATAACTAGATAAAGAAGAGTAATCTGCTTAAGATACAGAACCGAGCACATTAAGATGATCCAGTATGCCCATTTATTTTTGTAGGCCTATTCTGAATAACATTTCAAGGCTCCAGCTTCCCATTTATTTATTTGATTTCTGACATGCCTCATTAGCCATACAGCTCCCTAGTGCAGCCAAACAGAGAGAAGTGCGCTAGAATTTTTGCTGGAGAGAGAAGTACAACCATGCTGAAAGAGCTTTCAAGCATCAGCCTGCTTCTAGAGGTGCTTCTGCTGCAGCAAGGCCTATGCTTATGCCTGTCCTTCTCTGCATTTTGGCATAGTAAAGTGTTGGAGTGGGGGCCCAGGAGATCTGGGTACTGGTCCTCACTTAGCCATGGAGTTCAACTGGCTGACAGAGCCAGTCACAGACACACAGCCCAACCTGCCTCACAGACTGGTCATTCTTGTGATGAGAAAATGGAGAGGAAGAGATGCTTATAAGCCAGCTTGGGTTCCTTGCAAAAGAAAGAAAGATGGGGTATAGATGTAATGGAATAGCAATAATAATGTTCAATTTTCCACAATTGCTGTAGCCACTAACAATCCAAGGTAAGGTTGAAGTACTTTGAGAAGAGTTCTATATGGTTACTAAAATTCATTTGAACACTTTCTAGTAGTTGTTGCAACAAACAAGGCAACAGTGCACCTTAAACACCAGTATAAAGTTTCGTGGACTATGGCTGTTGCAATGCATCTGTTCAAGGGGTCTGTTGTCCACAGAAGCTTACACAAAAATAGATCTGTTGGTATTTTGCAATTAGTATATTTTTTCAAATCTATGCATGAGAAGGTGGTGTGTTCTGCTTGCATCTGTGACCATCTCTCCTTACTCACCTAAAGCCAGGAACTTCAACTCATTTATTTTTGTCCTTCCAGAGAACTTATTGGTTCTGTTTTTCAGTTTCACTGAGCTCAGTTACTTTTTAGCTTGCAAGAGTCGGTGCTAGAGATCTTTCCTATGGATCAGCTCCACCAACATTTACTTTCTTCTGCCATCTGATGGATGTAAAATAGAACTACAGGAGTTGGGGAGCCAATCCCAAATGAATGATATTCCTTATGTTGCCTTCCAGGAGTGTATCTAGACAAGCTGTGATAAACATGCATCCTTATACACTTTTGGTTTAATGAGGCATTTTTACTACATGTTCATAAGCATGTTTACTCATGAGTACCACTGAGTACACAGTGTTGGACATTGTGTGGCCTGATCCAGTGCAGTCAAGCATACCTATGGCTGTTGAAATCAGTTAAGGATTGGTAACCAGTTGTGTAAATGTTCGTGATCTTCAGTATTTCTGGAAGTCTTGCATGTATTAAGTTTAACTGCAGTGAACAGTTAATTGTCGGAATGAGTTTCTGTACTATACAGCTGTCTTTCCACTACCTTAGAATGTAATATGCATCTTAAAGGGAAAAAAATCCTACATTGCCAGCTGGCAAATACTGCGAACTGTAGGACTTTTTTTTGTATTAACATGTATAGGATTGCACACTTCAAAGTTCAAGCCTTAAATGTTGTGTGGAACCCCATGCCTCTACTAGTAAGGAAAATTATTAGGTGCATGTATCCAATGTGAAAGATGCCTGCAGATCAGAAAGCTGCAAATAGTTCAGGCTAGTACTACAAGTAGTTATTTCATTTGTATACTGCCTCATAGCTGAAGCTCTCAAGTCACCATAGCAAATACCAGATTCTCACCAAAGCTTAACCATAAATCTGATCTTTTTTCCTGAAGAAAATTTCCTCTGATGATAGGGTTCATTTCCTTAAACAAATGGAGTACTTTTACCAATGCACTATAATTTTCTAGTAAATTACAGTGGGTCATGGGAACAGTTTAACAGCAATGATACCACCAGTGGTAACCATGAAACCTGCAAATGCACAGAAAAACAAGCAGCACAGGGACATAGTGTTAGCCCTTGTGCTTACATGTTTGTGATGACTACTAAAATTCTGTTTTATGTTTGTGCTGTGTTTTATATTTTGTCTTACTGTTAAACCATCCTGAGACTTTGGTAAGGGATGGTCTAAAAAAGTTTTAAATGAATAAATAAAAAATTAAATATTCATGTAAATCAGCCTTCCCCAACTTGGTGCCCTCTCAGCATGCTGGAAGTTGTAGTTCAAACTATATGGAGGATACCAGATTTGGGCAGGCTACAGTAAAGAAATATAGGCTTGACCCCCACCCCCCAACTGCATATTCCTGTGTAGTTTCCTGGCAGTTTTATCCCTTTCTCAATCAAAGTGCAAAATGGAGCTTGACTTTTGGCAGCCATGGTAAGCTAAGAGACTTACTTGCCAGCTGGTTGGGACAATGCCTAGGATTGCCTAGTTGGACTCTGCCAGCAGGTACACTATGCATTGTTCTCCTGAGGCTCCCCATCCCCACACCTGCACATGTCCACAGCTACACAAGCAGAGATAAAAAATTGTATATTTTTGGAAATACTTGCAAAAATTAGGTTAGGGTTTAAAAAACATGTTTGGCAAGAATGGGGATCCCCCACCAAGGTGCTGCTGGGGAAGTCTGAAGGGACTAGTCATAGGTGTCAAAATGGGGATTGTGAAAATCAGCCAGGGAACTGGCTTTTGCAATCTGCAGAGAAGAGAGTTAAACGGCAAAAAGCCACAGCAGACCCACAACTGTTTACAGTTGCTGCAGGGGTGGGTAAAAGCCAGCGCCAGCTGCCCTCAACTGCTGCTTTGGCACTTTTGGTGTGGCTGGCATTAGCAGGTGCCAGAGCACACCTGGAAAGAGCAGCAAGTGCTTTCTCCTGCACTTAACAAATTAGTTGCTATTTTCCTGAACCCATGATGGGGCTAATCACCTGAGTTTGGAAAACCTAACATCCAATTGTGAGTGGAACAACTAAGGACAAGCAATGGGCTGTCAGGTTGACTTGTTGCCCTCAAACAAGTCACACTGTGGAACTGTGCCTGGGTTTGCATGACAATATTGACTAGCCATCCATGACAGATGGTTGTGTCATGCAAATCCAGTCAGTTCCAAACCATCCAATGCGTATAGTTATTATGATGTATGAAAGACCAGCTTTTTGTATTCTAGAAAATACTTTCTCAGTACGACCACCATTGGAGATTCTAGTTGTGGAGATGTAACAGAGGGCATGTTCATACAAGCACAGAGGACAAATGTTGGTTTATTGTGTGCGCTGGCAGGAATCTTCCTAGCAGCACAAGCTGGTGTCATGTAAAATCCAGAATGGTGGCTTGTTGCTGTGGGTTAACAAGCCACCTAGAACCATAGAGACCATGGGTTACAAGTGGTTTAATACCCTCAGCAACAGGTCATCTGCCTTTGTTTATATGTCCACAATGTGCTTCCTGAGGTAAACTAATCCCACCAGCACACAGAGGGGAAATATACCATTTTTTCTGCCTCATGATTTTGTAAACAAGGTTTGACAAGCCTTTGATATTTAATCTAGGTAAATTGAACTTTAAATAGGCTGGGTGGATACTTTTTATATGATTTGTGTTTTTTAATCATAGTTGTTGGTCAGCAGCATATTGGGACCATGCTAATGAAACCATCTTGGTCTTCTGGACTCTTCCACCCTTGGGAGGAACCCAATCCGTTTTGAAGATCACAGTAGACTTTAGAATTTCATGCCCACCTATCCTGGACAAGCACAGCTAGACCCACTGCCTCTCTTGGCCCTTACAAGCCCCAGAACTGGCACCAGGCCTGGCAGTTTGCCTGCCATTTGAGACTCATCTTTTTGCCTAGACTTTGCAGTCTAGCTACCTGGACAGATATATTGCCAAGGCAGAGACCCGCTGCAACCTTCTTTCTAAACAACCTTCATCCTAAAGTTTCAGTACACCCCAATCTTCAGCTCCAGGAACAGGTTATTTGAACCCAAGAAAACTTTTGCAACTGTATCTTATTTTCAGGAGAGCTTGCATTTATAAAGGATAGCGTCCCACTCTGCATCCCCTTTTCTGTTTTATGTGCTATTACCTGTAGGAGCATAACTTAAGATCTTGCATGCATATCCATAGCCAAGTTTACACACATCCTCATTTATCTTCAAGATAAAAATACAAACTAACTACATTCTTACTTCAGTACTCCCAGGTAATTAAGTCAGGAAAATCTCATTAGATGCATTATTTCTTTGGAGAGCTGCTGGTTCTAGTAGCATATTAGTATACATACTGTGGTTAAGTGAACCTGTGTTTAGATGAGAGATCTGATGGTTTTACACCTCCATGTTTGTCTTTCAGATACAATATTGGTAATGTTAGTGCTCCAAGTAGTTAAAAGTAGAAAGAACTCAAATGTCAGATATACCAAAGTAGCAGTTATGAATCTTTCTGCTCAGAGCTTAGTAATGGCTACTAATTCATACTCTCCCTCCACTTTTCCATTGTTTGATGGTGGACTGCCGCCTAGTAGTAAAGCTAGAGGAGTCTGCATGACTCGCCAGGTGCTAACATACTTCCTCCTCAAAATTGACTCCAACATCAATCACTGAGAACCCCAAAAGAGTGCATCAGCATAGTTTCTTCCACTATTGGGAAATCTGCAATTTAGGCTCCTACATAATGAGTTCAGCAGGCTCTATTTACACTCCTCTAGAAAGATCTAAGCACACAAGCAAGACTTACCTTCATGCTGGTACCTCCATTATGAAGTTCCATTCTTTTTATTTTAATCCTTTGCATGCAAGAGCAAAGGATTGGGGGTGGGGGAGAGATTACAAGTTCTATGTAGTTTTGCTTTAATGTACATGTGTACTGATTTGATGTAAACCTCCACTGTACCAGAAACTAGAAAGGCGCTTGTAAACAATGCTCATCAGTTACCCCTTTATTGCTGGACCTGTGGTTGCTTAAAGGCAAGGCGCTGCTTTTTTTCCTGTCTTGCACACTCCTTTCCAATACTCTTATTACTATCCCCCTTCCAGACCCTAATCTTTTTCTGTCCAATACCACTATTGGGGAGAAAGGTTTAGAAATATGATATGGCCTACTGATCTCACCTTTCTCTGGGTAATAGGTAACTTTGTAATATCTTTAAGTCACCAGGCTTCCCTCTAATACTGCTGTGCTCGATCTAGTCAGGAAAAAAAGAATGCAAATAGTGCTGCTGAAGTGATGTATTTGACAATTCTACAGTTTAAATGATACAGGAATTAACTTTGTATAATACATTTGTGGTACAACAGTTAATGTTCAGCTTTTATTCTTCCATATTTGTCTCTAATGTTATTTTGCATTGTGTACCTGAAAAATAAACCCCAAACAAAAAACTTCAGCCAAACTCCCCTTCCTCCTCCAGCTTTATTGATAGTTTAAAATTACATTTCTATATTCTAGGACTTCAGTTCCTTTTACCATCTTACTTTAAAAACTGATTACAAGCAAATGAAACTCAACAGTTGTCTAAGTGATATAGTATACAAAAATAACATCTTGATTTCTGTGAAAATGCATTTCTTTGCAAGTCCTGAATAGCTCCAAATTGTGTATGCTCTAAGAACTGATGTTCTGGGTTTGATTTAGTTTGTAATATTTGTTTCCCATTACCTTGTTATCTCATATTAGACATTCATTTATTGTTTCACTGTTACTTCAATTCTCGATTTCTCCCTCACTCTCATGGCCATTAACAGGCATGTGCATTGTTTGTTTATCCCACTTAGCTATATGCTCTAGGTAAGGCCTGATATACTCGGTGTTATTACTGTTACTGAGGTCAGACAATCCAAGGCCATTATTGTAATAAAATTAGTTACTGTGGAAGTTCAGACACTTCCAGTTTGTTTTCCTCCTGCATACGATCACTTCCATGGAACCCAGGGAGGCTTTGCTGGTCTGACTTAACTCTTTCCACTTATCCATCCCTATTCACCAGTGGCACGGAAAGGGGGTTCTTTAACAAAGCATTATACATAACACCTCTACCAAACTAAACATAAACATTTTTGTAGTTAAATGCAGAAAGTCGATTTTTCCACCCCTTTCCTCCTTTTACACAGCAAGTAAAGCTCACTGGCCTGGGAATAGCCTCTGTCTGCCAACCTTTGGCCAGTGAAGAGGATTCAGAGAAAAATAATACAACCATCAATCAGAAAAAGGAGGGGCGACAAAGGAAAACAGTTAAGCTGTAGCCTCAATTGTGCATTCCCGTGCAAGGTGTCCTGACTCGCCACAACGATAGCAGTTGACTTCGCTAGTCTTGCTGCAGTTGATGGCTACATGGCCAGTTTCACCACACCTGAAATAAGACAGAATACAACTTCAGCCCACTGAAATGTCCTATTTTGGATCTTGTGGATAACATTACACAAAGGGATAATTTTATGGGATGCTAAAAGAAATGACATTCTGTGAGAGTGTAAAAACTGTCACATAAGAATGCTTATGGTTAACGCTGCCTGCATACTTTTGATTAGAAATAGATTTCAGGATCAAGATGAGAGAACCTATATGCTCTCTTAATGTTACCAGAGTTCATCTCCCTCATCCCTGACCAAAGGCTGCGGTTGAAGGAAGTAGGGAGTCTGACAATGTAGATGTCCCCACCCTGTTGCAGGTTAAAGTTAAATTAGTGTAGCAGGACTAGTGTTTGCCTGTGTTGTTTTTAGACTTTTTTTACCTATAGCATTTCACTTTGGTGCAGTCCTTTTGGATGTGTCCAAACTCCCCACAAGAATAGCACTTTTGCTCATCTGCATGGTCACAATCACGAGCCAAGTGACCAGGTTTCCCACAGTTGTAGCAGCACTGCTCTCTCTCTCTCTTGGGCTCCTTGCAGTCCTTCGCAATATGGCCACCTCTACCGCAGTTATAGCAGGCTTCCACAATAAGAAAAAGGAAACAAACAAGACTATAAAACCTTGATGACACTACAGGACATGTATGTAATACAAAGCTTAAGTCACATAATTAGCTAGTAATATTTTTCTTATTTTTGCTCTCTGAAGTTTATTAATACTTACCATCCTCCTGAAGATCACAATCCTTGGCAAGATGACCAGACTCACCACAGCGGTAACAGATGTCCGGGAGTGATGAAGACATAAACTGGAAGCCTGTTTGAAAAGGCAAAGCCATTTAGCAATACAATAGAGTTACTAAACGTATCAGTTTAAAACCCACAATAAGACAAAAATGTAAAGCAAATTCTTGCACACTCTCAATTGCTATAAGCAGGAGAATAAGTAGGTGAACAGAACACAAATATTAAACTCAAATTTTGACGGGGGAGCTACCTCTGCCACGGCTTCGCATTCCACGGCCACGACCAATTCCTGTAGGGCACTCCCGAGCCCAGTGGCCAGTACGCCCACACTTGAAGCACTCGTTACTACTCATTGCTGCAGTTAGGTTACCTAAGTTAAGAAAAAATAATTAGAATAATGTACTGAAGCAGTCACATAAAAATATTTATGCTTTTTTATAATATTTAATTTTGCAGACCCAAATGCTTTCTGCCCATCTGCAAACAATGGTTTTATTTTGTGTTATGGGATTAATCAACCTGAAATTCATGGCAAAATATAAGATGCTAGACAGGAACATTGTACATCTAGATAGGAGATGATTACAGTAACTGCAGCTGCTTAGCTATGGTCAATTAGAAAGAACATATTACTAATCATTAAATAACAACTTGAATCATTAAACTTTAAGAACCTTCCTGTTCTCACATACAAGATGTGATTGCAGCAGATACAGATATGTGAACTGGAAAGTCATCCACCTCAAATTACAGCAACAGTTGCTATTAAATCTTGGATTTTAGGTTATACTGACCTCTAACAATTATCCCACAATTACAATATTTGTGATGTTTTAATTTGTGACGCTTGACTCGCCCACCAATGAAACCAAGAATGTAGAGGGATCTGAAGGTACCTGTTAGGCTTACTGATCAACATAGGAGGCCCCAAGACCTGTATGCAAGACCCGTATGCAAGACCCCAAGACTTGCAGCCTTCCAGATGTTGAATTACAATTCACAAAATTCCTGAGTATCAGCCATGTTGGCTGGGTCTGATGGGAAGTGCAGTTCATCATTTTCCAACCTTGGCCTATATGAAAGCTTCACTGAAGCAGAAGCACTAGACAAAGAAGCATTTATCAGCCTGTTAGACTCAACCAAGCCCGATTTGAAGCTCTGATTCACAACTCCCTACTCCCTGTGCTATGTACCTCAGCTGCTTTTTTCTGCATAAGCCAAGGATCCTTTATTTATCTGATTTGTACCCCACTTTTCTAACAAAAAATTGAACTCAAGACAGCTTACAAGTACTTTATATCTTATAATGGAGGTTAACACTAAACCTGTCTTTGTTAAGATTCTCTTCCAGATATTCATTGTAATTTATCTGCATATGCACTAATACCAGGAATGGGGGTGGCAGGCTCTGCCAAAGCTTGTTTACCTCAGAAAGAGGGTTAGCGCCTAGAGACCATTGCTTCACTCCAACATAGATCTAAGTCACAAGTTGATCCTTTGCTTAATTCAAGTTATCAGGTTTCTTAAGAAATGGTGGTCCATTAAGGTAAAGAACAAAGATCAAAATGTTAAAAACTATTCTTGGAAATATGCACAGGACATCTAGAGGATGATCACATGCATCACTCACTGTCAATAAAGGATTCTAAAGGGTAAATTCTCATGAAAATACTGGCATCAACTCCATGCCCTTTGTTAAAACAAACAAAAACCTCCTAACATTCAACTAGAGCAATGCATTCTAGTTTTTTAAAAAGCTGTTTCCAAATTGGACAAATGAACAAGTTAAGCTCTAACAGTTTAACCCAGCACCACAGAATTAAAGCTCAAACAGACGTAGTTTCAAGCAATCATTTATAAAATAGGGAGGTCATTAATAAAAAGAATTTAAAAGAGTGTGGGATCCTAAATCTTTCTGCTACTTCTTTGCAGTCTGATTCTCCAGTGCATTTCCCCTAAAAGTTCTGATACTTAACGGGAGCTTCACTGTGAGACACTCATGTACTTCTTTTGCTCTACTAGTCAGCTGTCCACACACTTTATATGCAATTGTTTAAATCCCAGCCTGCTAGTGTCATAGGTTCTTTTAGGCCAAGGAACGAGCCAGCTCCAAAGTATAACTGATACATATCTTAAGGACAGATACCCCCAATAAGCTGCCTCACTCATACATGTTCAAACACATCCTGATTCAAGTTTTCTGGTTCCAAAGGTATTATGCTACTAAGCCACTAAAAGGTAAGCAAACATCAAACAAATGATACCAAATAGGATTCTTTCACTTTTTAATGAACCAAAAATTCCATGTATGGCTTGACTATTTCTAGCATCAGAAAACTTGCAATGTATTTTGGTTTTAGAAGCACAGCACTGTTTTAACTGATTTGTGTACTTTTAGTTCCACAAAATAGTTGATAATAGATACCTGGCTAGAACTATGTCAATTACTCAGAATAGGAAACTGCATGACTGCACTTAAGCAGAAGCATTTTCAAGCTTCCCTATTCCACCACACAAATAGAATCTTATTACAGGTGATGATTAGCATATGAAGTTACTTGAGGAATGAACAGTCCTGTTCATAAGAATCAGAACTTTGTAACTATTCCCAACACTTTTTCAGAGATGTTTCAGTTATTTATAGCTAGATTGTCATGCATGCAGTGGGCTATCAAGTAATCCGCTGCATCTTATGGGAATCCAAGGATACACATATTTACCATTTGGCAGGCATCTGGCTGCGAAAATGTGTATGTAAACAAGACCATAAGGACAGACTGCAGCTAACCTCAATGTCAAAACCAATTTCTTTGCCTACTGGTCCTGCCCCACTTTCCTCCTTGTTGGCCCCTGCTTCCTCAGGTATACCTCTCAGGCCCTCATTTCTCTCTCTGCTGCCTCACTTCACTCTTTCTACAGGGCTCTAATTCCTGTAACTCCTGACATTCTATTTATTCTAGTTTCTTCTCTTTCTCAGCACCATTCAGCCACAGACAATCTCACTGACTATTTGTTCTCACACATTTGCAATGTTTTTGAAAGCATAGCATGGATAGGGAAATCCTTGAACAATAAGCTTTTACTTTAATTTCTTCCCACCCATCAGCAGCTCCTCAAAGTTCTACACTGCTATACAGCTACTATGTCCAAGGAGGAGCTGTGCTGATCACTTCTCATTCTTAACCATTCATTTCCAGGCCTGTTGCACATAGTTCTAAGTAGGTCTACCCCAGACTACTCTTTCCTTGGCATGGAATAAAGACAGAACAGAAAACAGATGAACATTTAAACTCCCAACTCCAAGTCAGAAAGCTATGGTTAGCAAACTTATAAACAATTGTGGGATAGGGAAGAATTTGGTTTATTAGCAACTGATAGCAAAGCTATATAAACTTGCATAAGTGAAGAGTTTTGCTTTATTTCTTCCTCCACACCTCAGAAACCACATGGGTTAAGTGTGTACAGATTCTATCAAGCACAGCCTATTTACTTTCCACCAAATTCCTCCACCTGCACTAATGAATGAATTAGTAGAAGACTGATAGATGTGGATTCTAGAAAACAAGGAAAGCTGAGAAAGGGTGGTGTGTACAATCATTTCAATAGGAGTAAGGTATGAAAGGAAGGCAAGTTTTATGCCTTGTAAAGCTGCTGTATATTGCTAAGAAAGAAAAAGAAAGACACAACACATTATGGGTTATACACCGATTCTAGGAAGCCATAGCTTTTCATTCTTGAATCATTACTGGTCCTAGAAATCATCCAGGAATCATGCTTCTTTTCCAAGTCCTTTGGCACACACAAAGAACAGAAAGGAGGGACAGTGTCTTCTTTCCAAATTTAAGCTATGGAAGCACTCAAGAATGCCTCCAGTGCACAGTGTAAAGAAAGTTGAAGGGATGCTATCTGAAAGATAGGCATTACCATGGTTACAGCATTTGTGACTTCTTGGCCACCCCCTGAACCCTCTCCTAAGGATACAGCAAAGTATGATATGGGTATATTCAAGCTTTATGACACATCTTCATATACTCCCACAGAAAGGTTGTTCTAGCCACTGTTCTCTCTCTGCCCATTAGGAACATTTCCAATAAAATATATGTTTGCATTACAAAGCCATTATTTGCAGTCTTTTTTCTACAGGCCACAATGGCACATTCCACCCAGATTAACCAACCTAGAAATCACTGGCACTAAAATAATCAAGATTCAGCCCAAATGGAAAGTGATCTTATAATTTTAAAATTATTTATTCAGAAAAGGTTCTTGACACTTTCCCAGTGAGAGCTACTAGACAACACACCAGCTTTTTTAACTTAGGCAATACTCCTGTTTCCAAAATGCATATAAAAAGAATAAGTAATAGCATCATAAAAGTTAGGACAATTGTCCACAAGCACTTGATGCTGCAATGTTACTAGATGCAAAGACATTTATAAAGGTGACCAGCTGTGGTCCTCATCAGTTACCTTGATAAAAGACCACAATGCTTCTCCCCCCATGATGCTGTCTAGAAGCTCATAATCCGTCAAAAGCTACCAGGACACGAGGCAGAATCCTATACAAGTTTCAAAAGAAAAAGGCCAACAGCTCCCAGAATGCTAGCTGGGGCATGCTGGGAGTTGTAGGCTTTGTTCTGTCTACACATGCACAGGACTGCACCCTTAGCAGGTCAATGAGGATAATCACCATGGGAAATGATCAATTATATTTTAGCCTGATCTAGTCTGACAAACTTGTTGGGCAACTTTTTGTACTACCATTCAACCCTATCATTTATCTGAGCCAACCACAAGTAACCACACTATTAACCACATGCAGTCCATTGCAACACAACACCTTGACTTCAAATTACCTTCTCTGTGATACAGAAAGCGACAGTTTTTATCATATTGAAAATGCAGCTGCTCTCCTATAACCTAACTCTTCTACTCATGTGTAGACCTTTATGAAAGGTCTGGCTGGAGCACACCGAGAGCTGTAAACTGAACACACTGAATATGCACAGGAGCCTAAATGCAAACTCCTTGATTAGAAATCAATGTATTCATTGTAGTATAAGATTTTGTGGGAAGAAGCCTGCTTGAACACACTTTCATGAGTAACATAAGCTACAAGAGCAACATACAACTAAGTGCATCATCATTTTGCTTTCAGAAGACCTGCAGTCCACCAAACTGTGCCATGGTAGTTAAGAGTATTACACTGGGAATTTGGGAGATCCTGGTTCTTATCCATACCCAGCAATGAAGCTCAGTGGGTGACTTTGGGCCACTCACTCACAGCCTAACCCACCTCAAAGGGTTGCTGTTGTGAGGATAAAATAAAGATGTGGTGAAATACGGAAGCTAACTTGGGTTTCATGCAAAAGAGATATAAATCCAATGCAATTATGGTAATAATAAAAAGAATATTTTAGGTAAAACATGAGAGAACCCTTGCAGCCAAATTCAAAAGGTTATATGGCATTTGGTTCTGAGGATTCAGGGCAATTATTCTCTAATACCACATCACATTGCTTTGTATTTTTTTCCCCAGACTTCAATCATTAGTGACAACTCAGCTAATTTCAAGCCTTCCTCAGCCTACCCACTGAAAACTATAATGAACTCAGAGCACACAGAATATTGCAATAATGATCTTGATTGTCACTATTATGCTTTTAAAATTATAATTACGTTTATATCCTGCCTTTCTCCTCATGCAAAGAACCCAAGGTGGTTTCACAGTCCTCCTCCTCTCCATTTTATCCACAGAACAAACCCAATGAGATTTAGACTGAAAGTGGGTCCCCAAGGTCACCCAGTAAATTTCATGGCCATTTGGGAACTAGGGCTCGGATCTCCCGAGCCTAGGTCCAACGCTACACCGCACTGGCTTTACACTGTCAAGTTCTCCCGGCAGACAGTCGGTATTACAAGTTACTGCTTAAAGTAGGTCTACCACTTTCTTACTTTAAAGTTTTCACGTTACGGTTACAAGCAAAGCCCAGTTTAGTCTAGGGGGCTTCCTGCCGAGTTCAGAAACTTAGGTTCGGGGAAGCTGTATTACCTAGGAGTGTCGAGTAACCACACTCACTACTGTCAAGCAGCGCAGGGAGGCATACACCAGTTATCGAGCGGCGTGGACGCTAAACCTTAACAGCCATGGTTCTTCAGCGAGTTACTCGGGCGAGCACGTGGAGAAGGCGGTGGCGCCAGCGGGACTTATTTCCCCCAGTCCAGCGAAACCGAGACGCACCCGCGTCTTCGAGTTCCACCTCCTCAGCCCCGAGTCCGCCCGCCTCGCCTCCCTTTTCCTCTCAGGACGCACGGACGCGCTACTGTTACGGGAGGGCCTCTGCTCCCCCAGACACTCGGCCTGCGCCGAACTCCAGCTGCCCGCGTCCAAAACATCCACACCCAGGCCCTCCTCCCGAGCGGAGGCCTTCTTCACCGAGCCCCGAAAAGTCCGTGCGTCTCGTCACGAGTTGAACTCCCTTGCCCCTTCCGAACGCCACGAAGGCCCCGCCGCCGCCAAAGGAGGCGGGAATCGGGTAATCCCGACTGCCCGCTTACCTGCACCGCCGCGGTCCTCTCGCAAGACGGCGGCCCGTGACAGGCCTCCTTTGCTCCCCTCTACTCGCCTGCCTTGGAGGGAGCGGGCCAAGAAGGGTGAGCGGTTTTCCCGCGCAGTAGGCCGGAACGAGCCAGCGCCCTCCTTCCCTCTCGCCACCCCGCCCAAAGAAGTCCCCCCCGCAACTAACGAACTCGCAGGCCAGCCCCTTCCCTCCGGTTACCTTTCTTGGGCTTTCGTTCGTGGTTGGCCGAAGCTGGACTGTCCGCGCGGCGATGGACTTTTCTTCTTCTTCTCCCCCTCCCCTCCGCGCGCGCGCGCGAGAGCTACTTAACCAGCCTCAATTCCACCCGCTGCCGTTGAGTCCCTGCTGGCTGCGCCACACGCGGTTTGCACACGACCCCACGCACCCTCCCTGCCGATCTGCGCACGGCTCCCTATCCCGATTGAGGGGCCAATAGCAGCCCTCTGGTGCTTCCGCGTGGCCCGTTGACGACAGAAGCGGAAGAGACCAATCAGCACCATGGAAAGGGGGGAGGTGTCCGCCTACCGGAATCTCCTACGTTCATTCTCGTCTGAGCTTGATGGGAGGGGTTGAGCAGACGGGAGTGAGGGAAGAGGGCGAGCGCTGGCGTCTTTCCCGGGCGCTGTCAATCATGCCTTTCCACAGGAGGTGCTCGCGCGTTCGCTCACTCGCGGCCTGCCGTGCGGAGGCACCTGGGCTGGCGAAGGCGGCGCCTCGTGGTCAGTGTCACGCGGTCAGGGGACGAGCAGCGTTGTCGAGTTTCGGGGCTTCTTGGAGAGCTGGGCAGGTGCTTCCACGAAGTTGTAAAAAAGATTATTCCAATGTAGGGCTATATCTTAGTCGACAGTTTCTCGAAGTCATTTTTCACACATTACTCCTAAATGCTCTAATTGTAGTCCCCAACGGTGCAATCTGATGCATATTTACCTGGGAGCAAATGCCATTAAACTAAGTGCAGGTTGCTCTTGAGTTGACATGCATAGACTTTCAGGGGCTCCAGTTCTCTTAACATTACTCGCAAGCAAGCCCCACAAGGAAGCAAGACTGTCTTAGTCTTAGAACTGGGCTTGTACACTGTAAAGTCTGAATGTTGCTAACTCGGGTTTGCGAGTGTGTATCATGCAACTTACGTAGACAGAGCTGGGATTTGCTGTTACTCCCCCCCACCCCCCACGCCCGTCCAGTGAAAACTTGATGACAACCCAAGATTTGCTGTCACAGAATATTTGAACAGCTCTTTGACAAATCGCCTGTTTACCCACCCTGTCTTTCTCTCTCTGTCTCTTTGCTGCTCTTTTGGAGAGGATGGGTGGAACAAATTGGTAACATTGCAGCACACTTAGGCCGCAATGTCATATGAACTGATGAAGGAAAATACGGACAGCACTTGGGAGTGTTCTGAATATTTTAACAGTAGCAGCAGCCAGTCAGCCAGCTGAACTGGCTGACTGAAAAGCCAGTTTCAAATGAAAAAAAAGCAATTTTTCTATTGGGTTCTTGGCTGGAATAAAAGCATCCAAAATGCTTGGAGCATGTCCATGTTTCTCCCCTACCCCTCATGTTCTACAGTTGTTGCCTTAGTGGGTAGAAAACAACATAGAACACTCCTGAGAGTCGAAAGAAACAAACGTGGATACATTATCTTAATTCCTCACAAAAAACAACAACCCAACAACCCAAACTTACTGCTCAATAGTTTACCAAAGAATTTTATTATTGCTTTACTATCCTAAGTTTCCTAAACATATAAAGAGGATTAAAGCATTTTGTAAAAGAAGAATTTTTAAAAGCAACCTAATCTCTTGCAATTATAATTGTTGTTTCCTATATTTGGATAGTGTGTAATTTTAGAGAATGATTCATATAGGTCACTTCCAGGCCTCAAAGGGCAGAAGTGATCATTCTGTATTAACTTAAATAGGTTGTCAGTAAATACATTTGTTAAACCTTTTGGCACTAAATTTCCACACATGTTTAAATACAAATCTGAAGCCATTTTGGTTCTGTCAGCTCATCTGAGGAGTGCTGTAGTGCCATGCATACTTTCATATACTAAAAATAACCATGGTCTCATTTTAGTAGCATGCAAAACTACAAGCAGAAGGCTAGCAGCAGAATCATGGAAAGGTATATAGCTGGGAGTTTTAAAAAGTACAGCTCTTGGTAGAACTCAAACTATTTGTGATCTTTGATGTTCCCATAACTTTTTCATCTGCTAGTCTCAATAGAACTGAGAGCCGCAGATGAAAAGGTTATAGGTATGTCAAAGATTACATATAGTTTGAATAAACAGAACTACCTTTAATTCCACACTATGTCTTTATCACTTTTTACCATCTATTTGTTTTATAATATATGCACATTTTTAAGTTCAATCACAAACAAAATGAAATGCATTCAAGATTTTGTTTCATGCACTTTAAAATTCAAAAGTCATACTAGAACTAATTACAAGACAGCAAAATAGAAGTGTTTTTAACAAATCAGTTACTTAAGTCACACTGAAAAGGGAATGTTTTGTAATTCTGCCTTCAGAAAGAAAGCAAATAATCATAGTATTTCCCACAGCAGGACATTTAAAAGCTCTGGAGCTGCAAAGGTCTTTATACTTGTGAAGGTCCAACTAGGCTATATATGGGATCTTCAGCAGAGCCTCATTAATGCATTTTAGGTGCTAGGGACAGGGCAGGAATGGGGTCATAGAGAGAAGACATTCCTTGAGACAACCCAGACTCTATGGCTTTAAAGATCAAAACTAATACTGTTGACTGGGGTCAGAAACAAATTTTCAGCTACTGCAGATGCGCCAACATGGGAGACATAGGAGAATGCTGACTCAGATTCAGCACCAGAGAAACACAGCATTCTGCACTGACATTTCTCTGTTTCCAAGGGGCATCCTCACGTGTGACATGGAAGCAGGACTTCATCCTCTGGCTATGACCCCACCTGTGTTTGAAGACAAAAACACCACTGAGGCCATTCTGATGAAAATATCCTTGCAGTAGTATGAGAGCTGCTGAAAAACCCACAAGTGTGGTAAAGATTTCCCATTGTAGTACAAGCATCAGCCCCACAGAGATCACCAGATTACAGCGTTTCCCCCCTCCCCCCTCCAATAGTGTCACACTAACATATAGGGCTGATGGCATGGGAAGTAATCTGGGTGACCTGACTTGTGGTTGCACATCAGTTACTGCAACGTGGACTTCCAGCCACACCAAAGTGCTCTTTTGGCAGCAGCGGTAATGGATGAATCAAGCCACAGTCATGATTTTAAAAACACTTCCAGTGAAGTTTTCCAGGGAAGCTTAAGAAAATAAAGGACTTTTATACCAAATAAGTATCAATGGAGCATTTGGACTAATACTATGTTAGAGTTCAGAAATGAATAAAAACTGTTCTTCCTGTAAGCATTTGATTTAGGTACAGAGATGAAATTAATAATAATATTAGCAATAATAATATTGTCTCCCTTGTAACATCCATCTGAGACTTGACAAGTGTGAAATGGATGCTCTGAGTCCTGTCAGGAAAGCTCTCAGTTTAATAGCAAATCTAGCCCTATGTGGTCTCTTGGTTTAAATCTTTTAATTCCTTTATAATCAGCATGCCATTTGTTTATTTATCAACTATTCAGGTCAGGAATGTATTAAATACTTTGAACTACTTGTTTTCCATGTGGAAATGAAAGAATAGGGGAACCATGCTATTTGCGTGATTCTGGCATGGAAAGGGCTGATCTGGTGCGCTACTATATTCTAGTTGCTAGAATTAAAAAGTTTGAAAGCAATTTTTCCTAAGTCACAAATGGCAAAATGGATGCAACCCACTGGATAAACACTTGACCTCATGCCAGGAGGTTGACACAGGCATGACAGAACTTGGAGAACTGCTTCCGAATGTAGCACTGGAATTGGCCTTCAGAGGTCAGGGCACAACAACAATCTGTAATGGCGAAGGGTGGGGGTTCCCTGTTGATCAAATCCCCAGTCTAACTCCTGCTAAACCATGCACTCCTTAAGGTTACAACGCACTTTCTCTCATGACTCATCAATACGAAACATGAGAGCCTGCATTTATTCCTAGCTAAACTTTAGATACGCAAATGCATGTAACTGAACCTGGTGGTGTGTGGGCTTCTGAGTAAAGAAGTAGGGGGAACAAGCGTGTAGCTTTCCTGGCTGTTCCAATTTCCTTCTGAAGCTCTCCTCCCCAGTGAGTTCCCATTTGTCACTCTGCAGTTTGCAGTGACAGTATTCTAGAAATGGCTTTTATTGTGCAATTTCCCTGCCTCATTCACAAATTTTTACAGCTGCATGTATGTCTCAGGCTACATCATTTTCTACTCATAATCCTCTCATATTATCTCATAGCTTCTTCTATCCTTTGTCTATCCATAGAAAGTCCATTAAAAGCAAACATACAGGACTGAAGGGCTGTTTCCACGAAAAGAGCAGCCTACTGTGGCTTCTTTAACCCAGGGTGAGGTTTCGGGGTGCACACAGCCACCCTTTTGAATATTCAGCCTTACACAGGGATTGTTGTGTTGTGTGAACCTGGTGAGCATGGGTTATATGAAACCCTCACAGAACCCATGGTCTCTTTTCATGCTATGTGAGGGTTGTAACTTTTGTATGACTTGAGTTCATGTGACATGGCAACCCCTGAGTGGCAGTCAAACATGCAATGGCACCCAGAGGCATTCAGCCCACAATCCTACAGGTTGCTCTATTGATGCTGATAAGCCCCTGAGCTTACCTGACACAGGTTACGTAGGCTTACATGGATCCTATGCAGGCCGAGAGAAATAGTGAAGATTATTGTGTCCTTCCCACCCTGCATTCTTACTAGATGGGCTTTTGTGCCCAGGTAACAAAGCCATTTTGGAGGGGGGTGGGCCTCAGGATAGCTCCTATCCTGACTTCTCTTGATTTCTCTGCCCTCCACCCATGGAAACACCCCCTTTTACCCCTCTCTGAAGTCATGTTCCTAAGGGAGAGGTAACCAGTCCTATTCTTCCTGCACCAACTGCAAGGCCGAATGGGGTGGAGCTCCAGTTTCCAGCTCTGAGCTCAGGGCCACAGGATGGCTCCCTCGATAACCCAAGGAGGAGCCCATGGTACAGATGTCATCCCAATCCAGTCAATAGCTACACAAAGCCACCTTGATTTTCTGAGTACAACAGTGAAGATAGGCATTTTATATTAAATAAACAAGACAAAAGGTGAATGTAAATGTACATTGTTTTACCTATGGTGCCACCTCTGCATTCAGAGGTGTTCAACTCCCAGACTTTCTGTGAGTTCAGGGAAAACCAGTTCTACCAGTTTGCTGCAGAAACAAACTTTGCAAGGACTAATTGGCTGGCTCTTGTGCCATC